GTTAATTTTAGCCATTCTGACTGGTGTGAGGTGGTATATCTCATGGTAGTTTTGCTTTGTAGTTCTGTGATGATGAGTGATGTTGAGCATCTTTTCATGTGTTGGCCATCTGAATGTCTTCTTTGGAAAAGTGTCTATTCATGTCTTTTGCCCATTTCTTCACTGGATTATTTGTTTTTTGGGTGTTGAGTTTGATAAATTCTTTATAGATTTGGGATTCTAACCTTTTATCTGTTATGTCATTTGCAAATATCTTCTCCCATTGTGTTGTTTGCCTTTTAGTTTTGGTGATTGTTTTCTTCGCAGTGCAGAAGCTTTTTATTTTGATGAGGTCCCAACAGTTTGTTTTTGCTTTTGTTTCCCTGGTCTCCAGAGATGTGTGGAATAAGAAGTTGCTGCAGCTGAGGTCAGAGAGGTTTTTGCCTGCTTTTCCCTCTAGGATTTTGATGGCTTCCTGTCTTACATTTAGATCTTTCATCTATTTTGAGTTTATTTTTGTGTACGGTTGTCTAGGTTCAATCTTCTGCATGTCGCTGTCCAGTTTGTCCAATTTGCTGAAGAGACTGTGTTTATTTCTTTGGATATTCTTTCTTGCTTTGTCAAAGATTAGTTGGCCATATTTTTGTGGGTCCACTTCTGGGTTCTCTATTCTGTACCATTGATCTAAGTGTTTTTGCGCCGGTAGCATACTGTCTTGATGATCACAGCTTTGTAATATATCCTGAAGTCGGGAATTGTGATGCCTGCAGCTTTGGTTTTCTTTTTCAAGATTGTTTTGGCTATTTGGGGTCTTTTCTGGTTCCATAAAAATTTTAGGACTGTCTGTTCCAGCTCTGTGAAGAACGCTGGTGTTATTTTGATAGGGATTGCATTGAATATGCAGATTGCTTTTGGTGTATCGACATTTTAACAATATTTGTTCTTCAAATCCATGAGCATGGAATATTTTTCCATTTTTTTAGTGTCGTCTTCAATTTCTTTCATCAGCTCTCTATAGTTTTCAGTCTATAGATTTTTCATCTCTACGGTTAGGTTTATTCTTAGGTATTTTATGGTTTTTGGTGCAATTGTAAATGGGATTGGTTCCTTGATTTCTCTTCCCACTGCTTCATTATTGGTGTACAGGAATGCAGCAAATCTCTGTGCATTGATTTTATATCCTGCAACTTTGCTGAATTCATGGATCAGTTCTAGCAGCTTTTTGGTGCACTCTTCTGGGTTTTCCATATAGAGTACATGTTGTCTGTGAAGAGTGAAAGTTTGACTTCCTCCTTGCCAATCTGGATGCCTTTTATTTCTTTTTGTTGTTTGACTGCTGAGGCTAGGACTTCCAGCACTATGTTGAAGTCCTGGGATTCTTATCTTCATCATCTGTCGTGACACACAATCACTTTAATTACTTCAGAATGCTGACCAGGAAAGAATATTCTCTTAGAATGATTTTTGAGATGAGAAAGTAATCATTTAATATTCCCATTATTTACCTATGTTCGTCTGTTCCTGGACAGTAGAATTCCTTCCTTGAAGAACATTGGGGCCAAAATGGGTAAGAATTCGGAGGGTACTGTGTCCAGTATTTCTCCTGACTTCTCTCCCTTCTAAACGGGCTTATTTAGCCACTGTCCAAATGGTGGCTTCCCAGCTTGGAAATGCCCACCTCTTGGTAACCTCTCAAGCAAAGACAAACACCAGCTGTCACAGACTGAATATTTTTGTCCCCCTCACCCCCACCAATTTGTATGTTGGAGCCTGCCAGTCATGTGACGGATGGTATAGGATGTGCGGCTATGGGGAGATGATGAGGATTGGATGAAGCTATGAAGGTGGGGCCCCACGATGGGATTAGTGCCCTTTAAGGAGTCATGGGGGGACTTGCTTCCCCTCTCTGCTTCCAGTGGGAGGGGGCACCCTGAACTCAGACTTTTAATCTGTGGGAAATCAATTTCAGCTGTTACAAGCCACTGTTTCTGGTACCTTTGTTACAGCAGCCTGAACTGACCTGGACACCAGCACAGCCAACCAGCCACGCCGCACCCCCAACATCTCATCCTCTGGGCCAGCAGTTCTCAAACCCATTGGTCTCGGATCTTTTTACGCTCTTAAAAATTATTAAGGACCCCAAGGAGCTTTTGGGTGTGATATGTTTATTTATAACTTAGGTACTCTATGGAAATTAAACAAACATTTACGAGCTCATTTAGAAATAATAAACCATCGCGTTAACATATATATTTTTTAATAACTTAAATTTTCCAAAGTGAAAAACTTAGTGATAAGAGCAGCATTGTTTTACAGCTCTGCAAATCACTGTAATACTTAATAGGAGACAGCTAGATTCTCCGAACTGCTTCTGGCCTCAGTCTCTTTTGATGCCAGACATTATGTGACTTCTGGAAAGCCCCACTGTACACGCTTAAGAGACTGACATAGTATTGTTAGGAAGACGGTTTTGATCTTGTAGAGCCACAGAAAGAGGCTTGATGAGCCCCTGGCCTCCCCAGATTTCCAGGCTGCACTTTGCTTTCTGGAATGACAGCCTCGCTTATTTCAAGTTCCGGTGACATTCGTGACCTCTGTGTCCCCACTGCACCTTGACCTGTGTGACCTGCTGTTGTTTGTGTTTAGCCCCTGCTAGGTTGTGAGACCCGTGGAGGGAGACACTCAAGTTTATTCACCTTTACATCCTCAGGACCTAACAGCGTCTGGCTTCCATTAGGCACCAGATAAGATCATGCTCAATACCTGTTTCAATTATAAAACCTGTATAGTTAGGACTGTTATAGAAAACAGAGACCATAAAAAAACCCCATTCCTCGTCATCCAAATGTTATTTTTTTAGTGTATTTTGTATTAGCTTTTTTACAAAATCCTGTTTAAGAACGAGAACCACATCATATAATAAATGCACACCGTAATTTTGAATAGTTTTTTCCCCTCACCTAGCAATGGGTAAGCTTTTCTGAGGTCAGGGACCACCATAAAGCTCCACTGTGCAGATATAAAACAGTGTACTAAATATCCGACATTATTAGGATATTATTAGGATGCTTCCAAGTTTTTGTTGTAATAAATACAGTGATCCTGTGAAGAATACCTTCACACACACACAGCTTTTTTGGCATTTAGTGTTATTTCCTTAGAATAGATTCCCAGAAGTAAGCTTACTGGGTCAACAGATGCAGACGTTTTTTATGGCTTTTAATACGAACAGTACAATTGCTTTTCAAAAGGGTTATACTAATTTTCAATGCCACCAGCACTTTTAAGGACGTTTCACTACTCAAATTGTCAACATAGGGACTATTAAGAATGCCGATCGATAAAATATTGTACCCTGGTTAAAGTTTTGCATTTTTTGAGGTTCATAAAATTAAAGTCTGCCGAAGAACGAGTTGTCTAATACACAGCATTCCTTTGGGACATCTTTGTTTCTGGCAAACCCAAATTTTTACTTGTGAACGCTAGAAGAACGCATGTTACGAGGCTGGCACAGAATTCACTTTGACAGTCAAATCTAAACGCCAAAATTCTCGAATGAGGTCCTTTCGCCGATTCGGCTAGTCGTCTTCAACGGCAGGAAGGGGAAAAACACTAACATCTGAGGACTGAAATGTTCCCACCGCAAGCCACGCACAAGATCCACACAGAGCGGTTGGAGCTCTGCTGTCCATTCAACTTTTCTTCCTTTTTCGGCTAAACTTGGAGGGCTGAGCCCTCTCTTTGTTTCCGGTACCACCTGCCCACGTGCGCCTGTGCCGACTTCCGCGGGAAGGGGCTCTGGGGTCCCGGCCGCCGGCGGCGGCGCCGGCCTCCCGCGTGCGCACGGCCCTCCGGAGCGGCCGCGGCGGCGCGCGTGTCCCCCGCGGGGGGCTCCTGACCTGCTTCCGGGCTGGCCTCCCGGCGCGGGCGCTGGAACATTCGCTGCGAAGAACCGCGACCCCACGCCCAGGACCGAGGGAAACTTGGCCTGCCTCGCCCTCCGGGCGGGCGCGCCGCGGCGGAGCGCTCCTCCACGGTTTCCTTCGGCGGCCGCATCCTGGGACAGGCAGTTATGAGTCATCGGCTCTGTGGGTCACATGGCCAACGTGACCAAAATAAAGTTTCAGTATTTTAAGCCGCCAGAAAAGGGGACAACGGAGCGCACCGGGGGCAGGGAGCGGAAGGCGGGCACCGGCGGGCACGGGCGGACCGGGCACCCGCGCGAGGGGCCGCGGCTGCGCGGGCACCCGGGGGGGAGGGGGCGGAGCGCCGGGGGGAGGGGAAGGGGCGGGGCTTGGCGGGAGGCGCGCCCTTCCCCCCACGGCCGGCAGCGACGTCCGGGCTGCCGGGCCGGCCGGGCTCCGGAGCGCGGCGCCCGGCCGACCCCGGCCCCGAGGCCCCGGGCCGCGCTGTCCCCCGGCAGTGGCAGGCCGCGGGATTCCGGAGATCCCGTCGCGTCCTCCACTGCCACCGGGACCCCACGCGCCGGCAGCGGCTTCCCCGGGAACGTCCTTCAGCCCCGGGAGCACGCGGGAAAAGCCCCAGCGCGCCAATGAGCGAGCGCCTTCCTCCTGACGGTCACGCTCGGGGGCGGGGCTTCCCTTCGCCGCTCCCGAGTTCCGGGAACCCCCTTTGATTGGTCTGGACGGCCTGGGAAACACTGTAGTAACGCCCAATCAAAGCGCCACGTCTCGGCCTCGAGGAAATATTCCGTGTCGGCCGGGTTCTGACTGGGCAGTTCTTTCCGACTCTGGCCACTGGGAAGCTTTGTTTAGGTCTGGAAGGCGGGCTTTCCTGGGAGTGGGTGGGGAGGGGGCGTTGATTCTTGACCAATCCTTTCATTCCGTTGGGTGGTGACCAGCCAATGGGCCGGGCGGATAGGACGCTCCTCCCGGAGAGTAGTGAGACCCCTGGTGCGGGGCGATTGGTGGCGGGCACTATGAGTGGCAGCCGCGAGGCCCAACGGGCGCAGTGCGTGGGCCGCGGGGCGGGGCCAGGGCGGGTGCGCGGCGGCGGCGGGGTGGCTGGGCCGGCGGCGGCGGCGGTACGAGGCGCGCGCTCGGGGTCCCGGTCGCGAGGAGGAGGAGGATGTGGCGCGCGGAGGGGAAATGGCTGCCGAAAACAAGCCGGAAGGTAAGAGCCGGCGCGTGAGGGGCCGGGGGCGGCGCGGCGGGCGGCGGGACCCGGCCCCGCCGGACATCCCGGGCATCGGCGGCGCCGGGCGGGAGCGCGGGGGCGCGGCGGCGGCGGGCGGGCGGGCGCCCCGGGCCGGGGAGGGGGCGGCGGGTGGGGGGGTGGAGCGCGGCCGGGTCCTGAGGTGACTCGCCGGGCGGCGGAGCGCGGCGCCGCACACCCCCACCCGGGGGCGGGCTGGGGCCGGAGGGGCGGGGGGCCGGCGGGCGGGGGCCGGGCCCAGCGAGGAGGAGGAGCCGGCGGAGGGAGGGCCGGCGCCTCCCCCACCCGGACCGGGCATCCCCGCCGCTCCCGGGCCCGCGGCGCGGCCCCCCGCCCCCCGCGCCGGGCCCGGTGGGGGCCGCGGGGCGGAAAGTTTATCCGCCTCGGGCCCCCTCCGGCCCCGCGCCCCGCTGCCCTGGGTCGGTCCCAGTCGGGGGCACGGCCGGCGCTCAGCCCCTGGCTCTCGGGCGGCAGGGCCAGGCGGACTCCGTCCAGCATCACCCGCGAGCCCCGTGGGCGCCTCCCAGAGCCGGCGGGGGTCCCCGTGCTTCTCCCCGCCAGGGGGACCCCCTCCTGCTGAGCGTCCCCGGGCCGAAGGGCCTCGTGTGACCCCTCCCCCTTCCCTTCCTGGGAAGGGGGCCTGCGCAGCATCCCCGCCCCTAGCAGTCGTTCCCATTCTACTCCTGCCCTTGCACCCCTCGCAGCCGGGAGGGTGGGGTCTCCGTTTCTATGGCAAGTGAGGATCTCCATACTCCCTTGCCCTTTACCTTCTGTGACCCTGATCCTTCTTTGGCACAGGGGTCTGTCTCAGCCTCTCATCTTCTGTGGACGCTTCTGGGGCCTCTGCACACCGTCTAGTGACCCTTTTGCCAGGACAAGGGGACTCGGGCTCCCCGTGTTCTTCTTCCCTCACCCAGTGGGTAGTGGGGGCCTGTGCAGCTCTGAAGTCATTTCTGAATAGGAAAGCAGACACTTCTCACAGATTATGCATACTCTCTGCTCACTTTCCTGGGTTAGGGTGAGCTCATTTCCCGGATACCCTTTGAGTTGCCCTCCTTTTCGTAGGGGAGAAACTGGACCTTCCAGTGCTCCTTTCCCCATTTGGCCGTCTCCCCTAGCGTGTTGTCTCTGCTCAGAGTTTCTCGTGTGGGTGCGGGTGGGGGCACGGGATCAGATGTAGGGCAGGATTTCCATCGTGCCTGGTACCTGAGTAGGAAGGGGTCACGGTGATTACTCCCCTGTGTGGGAGGGGAACCAGGGTCTGTGTTTGCTCCCAGCTTCCTCTTGCCTCCTAGGCCGAGGCAGCATTCACCAGGTGACACCATCCCGGAGGCAGCCTGGTCCCGTGCCCTTGTCTTTTGGCGGTCCCATCACTGCCTTCTGTGCAGTAGGAACCTGGCTCTGGACATTGTACCGTCAAGTTTTTGAACCTTCCCCGGAAATAAAACTTCCCATTTCTTTTTTAGGAGAGCCCATATCCTCATGGCTTGGGTTCCCAGTCAGCCATATTTTAGTGAGCCTGTTACCTCTACTTTTTCTGATTTTCCTTAAATTGTATTCATGTTGGCTGGGTAAGAAGAAGCCATATGCCTTTCCATCTAGAAGAGGGAGTGTAGACACTCATGTCGCCCACGTGCCATTCGGGAAGGGGTTGCTCGTGTGCTTCTTGTTGTACTAGAACCTTCCTTTGGCCTCGTGTTGTCTCTCATGGGATCTGAACGTTTTTTAATTTTTTTTTTTTTTTTTTGGGTCTTGTAACTTTCAGGTGAAGGGGAAATTTGGATGCTTTTCTTTTTTTTACTGCTGTTGTTCTCTTTTGGCAAAAACCACGATGCCATGCATTTGTTTATACATACACACGTGTAGGGATGCATTCAGACAAAGTCACATCTGTCACGCGTACGCCGTGAGTTGGACGGGTTAGAGGGCTGGCTGTGCGTTCTGCGTGTTTGTGGCGACCTGGATGTGTCTGGATGGGGGTATACGTTCCTGTTGTTGTAACTCCTCAGCCTGAGAAGAATCAGAAAACTCACTGACAAATGGCCAGTTCTTACCACTCTTTCATCTGTCATTTGGACTGTACTGAATAAGCAGAACGGCATCCCGGACGTCCACCAAGTCCCCGAGTGCATGGAGTGTGGAGTGCTCGCTGATGCACACCAGAACTTGGGCATCCCGCATGTCGGGGTAGTATCCTCTGCCCAGTGCTTCGTAGGGTGAAAGGTTCTCATCCTGCTCTCTTCACGGCCGTGTAGGGGAAAGAGATTTCCTGTATTTGGGGCATTGATAGGAGGGGGTGAGAATATGTATTTCTGTGACGGAACTAGGAATGAGCAGCAATAAATATGTCGCTGTTTTATTTTGGCCATTTCGATAATTGAGAGAGGTTGTGCACACTAGGAGAAGGTACCTTTGGGAAGGCCCCGTGACACTTCATCATCGGGTGGGAGGGACTGTTTGTCCAGGTCTGTCCTGAGGATCACAGTGTGCACATTTGGCTCTGGGGCAGGGCGGTGGGGCGGCCGCCTCTGGGGCTCCCCTGCTCCCCCCCCCCCTCCCCGAGCTTGGATCCGCCACTGGCTGCTGGCTGCTGTCAGTCAGCGGCAAGTCTCACTTTTTGACAGGCTGAGTGTGGGGCCTCATCCTCCCCTACAGGCTGTGTCAGACTCAGAGCATTTGGACCTTTAAGCATTTTTCTTGCAAGGACACCCTCTCCGCCAGGGTTACTGAGGAAGGAGGCAGGGTGATCTGGAAGGTTGGCCAGTACTAGGCTTTCACTTCGAGACTTTGCCCTTTAGCTCATATGGAGTTACCTGGTGGGCACAGCACCCACTGCCCCAAAGTCTCATTTTTTACCTCCGTTTCCAATTTTTAAGAAAAGGAAAGTTTTTATGCTGTTGTTATTCTGTCTGTGTTTATACTCAGCTTGATGGATTTGTGTATTTTTAGGGTTATGGTATTAATGACCCTTGGAAATCGAGAGTTGAGTGCCTGCTGTAGATACTGGGGTGTGCCCAGGACAGTGAGGGTTCCCATCTCGCTTCTAGTGGTGGGTGTCCAGTGGACTTCCTGTCCTGCATGCCACCGACTGCCTTTCTGCGTCCCCTCTGCTAATCGGGGTGCTCTGTACTGTGGGCAATGGAAGGAAAATGGTAAAGGTTAGAAGAACACAGTTGAGGTTAGTGGGCAAAGTTGGGCTCTTTCCTTTGAGTTTAAATGTGGCTGTGCTCTCTGTGCCATCATCCCCTTACATGATTGGAAATTGGCTTTTCCCTTCCTCTGCCAGTATATAGTGCTCTCTTTTAGTTAGTCGGGCGAGGTGGGTTCCCCGAAGGACTTTTCTTTCTCACATCTTGTTAGCATGTCCCTCTGTCCTCTCCCTCAGCCCTTACCCCCCAGCTTTTTGGACAAGGTTGGGTGACTCATGGGACGTCTCTCCCTTTGTCTTCTTGAAGACTTGACTTACCTTGCTGTTAAGTGTTGGGTTTCTCCATCTCCTCATTCAGTGGATTCAGAGTGTGGGTGCATACGTAGCATCCTCTGCTTGAGGTCAGACTGGCTCGAATTTTCCTTTCCAAAACAGTAGGTTTGCTCTTGCTTGTTCTTTGAGATGTATTTATATGTCCTGCTTACCTGTGTTTTTCCATTTTGTTAGTTTTTAGGCTTTTTCTCTAAAATAGCCAACTCTTTAGTGTCAGGTGGTGTTATTTTAATTCTGTTTATGCTGGGTCTTGCCCAGGTGCCTGGGGGGGATTATAATTTTTTCGGATTTTGAGGGAACTGAACTTTTTTTTTTTTTAAACTCTTCCTTCATTGCTTTGGGCCATTCTTCATTTTCCATTTCCTAGGTTCCCTAGGTTCCAGGCAGTACTCGTCGTGTGCAGTTGTACTTCTTCCTGATTTCCTCATGGAGAAAGCAACAGAAGGTGATTCTTGTGTTCTCTTTCTTTCCCCTCCTGGTTGTGTCTGTTGCCTCCTTTGTGGGACCTTTGAGTTTGTCCTTTGGAGAGAAGTTGTTTTTGCTTCCAGATTCCCATCTCCGAGCGCGTGCGTTCTGGGAACATTCGCTGAGCTTCAGGGATCTGTGGGCTATATGACTGTGCTGGAGCCCTTTCAGTATGAATGAGATTTCAATGAGTCTTGTGTTTATCTTTTTCTATATTCTTTTAAGGAGTTCTTTTCTGAATTTTCATTATTGGGATTGTAATCTTACAAAAATATATGCTAATAGCGTGCCATCCGCCTGAACTCCTACCCCCTCCCTGCAGGACTGGGGGGTGTTGGAGAGGGGGGAGGGCAGCTTTCCCTCATACTGTGTGCAGGGTATGTGTAGGAAAAAGTAAGGTCAACCTTCCTTTTAAACGGGTAGGCATAACTTTTAGGTCACTTAGATACATGGTTGGTGGGAACGCTTGTTTCATATTTGAACAGCAGCCTGCCAGGGATTGTATAGAATGGACAAGATATTGTACAGTACAGAAAATCAAATGCATCCTTTGTAGAAGGAAGGGGCAGAAAAATAATTTCCTCTTATGATTGACTGGTATCTTTCATGTCCTCAGATGGTCAGAACTGTAGGAGAAACTGTTAAATTTTTGCTGCCAGAATGTGTTCTATGTAAATCTAGTGCTGAATTGCGGAGACCATTGTTAGGCTAGATACCTGTTATAAATCACCACCACTCTTGTTTGTTATGTGACTTCTAATATTTTATACTTTTTAAAATATTACTTTTATTTGTGTCTTGTCTTTTTCTAAAAATTTTTTTTTTTTTTAAATGTTTTATTTATTTCTAGGAGAGAGAGACAGCGTGAGCAGGGGAGGGTCAGAGAGAGAGGGAGTCACAGACTGAAACAGGCTCCAGGCTCTGAGCTGGCAGTCAGCACAGAGCCTGACGCGGGGCTCGAAGCCACGAACCGCGAGATCATGACCTAAGCGAAAGTCGGAAAGTCGGACGC